TCTGGCACTGACAGGCAGGGTTGGAAGCCCCCCCCCCCCCCCTCCCACCTCATTAAATGATCTAAATTGTGTCGGTGGGGGCGTGAAACATCTCCATAAACAAAAGAATTTAAGATGGTTGGTGCTCCTGTTCTGCTGTGAGTGTTGTGAGAGGGAAGTCATAGTATAACATAAGGGGCACATGCACACTACATACAGATATATGTTCTCTCTTCTTGTCTGTCTGTCTGTCTGTCTGTCTGTCTGTCTGTCTGTCTGTCTGTCTGTCTGTTTGTCTGTCTGTCTGTTTGTCTCTCTCTCTGTCTCTCTTTCTGTCTGTCTCTCTCTTTATTTTTTCCCCTCTCTCTTTGCCAGGAAAGAACATTGAGTTATTTCATGACTACGGTTCATTATATAATGGTACTAAGAAGGGGGGAGGGGGATATACTTGTTTATTGTTGTTGTTGTTTTTGTACATAGACAGTGTAGTGAATAGAACTCCACATCAGTGAGAGATACAACCTCTTTCTAGTGGTGGAAAAGCGAACATTTTTTTGAATCTTATGCTCATGTGTACTCGAGTGATTTTCAATCATGATTTATTACTATTGAATATTGCAACCAGCGCCTCTCCTTTTTTCTTCCTCGTCTTGTATAGTTCTTAAAACTGGACCAAGTGCTCCGCTACAGTTAAAAATAACCTGTATTATGATTATTTATGGCCAAGAATGGCCTTGAACTGATACAAAACTAAAATAGATGTCAGGGGGAACGAATACATTCAAGCGTGCTCATAGCGAAATTGGTGGGGCGTTGAAATCTTTACGAGTTTCATTATGTATGTGCTTTTAATACAACTCTTACATACTTGAAAAAATTTGGGGTGGGTGGTTGTCGGGTGCTCTGGTGTGGTCTGCTCCTTCTCTCCTATCGAATATCTGTCATCCTTCTCCTCCTTCCTTACCCCCGCCGGGGCGGTGCTACTAACTGAAGTGTCTTTAGGCCATTCCCCAAGGGGGGGGGGGGGAGGAGGACATTAACATCTTGAGTTCTTATACACAGAGTAGAATTGTAATTGTAAATGGGCTGAATCATCAATGATGCTCATTACCGTGCCTGGACTGCAACAGGGAACTACCACCTTTTCTTTCCTAATCCTTGCTATCGTCATTTTTCCACTACTTCTTTTGTATGTTTGTCACACTCCTGTGATGCGCTATTTCTGAGGTGCCTTGATAGTCGAAGCTGACATTTTGCTGTCGAAGCTAGAGAGGTGAGCAGAGTAAGTCTGATTCCCTGTAAGGACTTCTCTGTTGACATCCACCCCTTGGCGCTCATTTGACCTTATGCAGTTACGAGCGCCAAAAGTAAGTTTATTCAGTGTTTAAGGCGACTGGCCCACATCACATCACATAAAACTGTCATTTGATAAAGTTTCCATAATGAATAAGTACAGGTTGTACACATATTTCTTATCATTGGTCGAACATTGCATATTTCTGTCTCTGGGTCGAGTCAGGCTGGGAGGGATTAATAATTTCCTTTGATGGATAAAGTGTGAACAATAGAAAGTAAAGTGAAATTTATCTTCAATTTCATGAGAGTTACACCTCTCACATAAGGGCGAATAAGTTAATTTCCATCAATAGAGATTGTTGTTTTATGGAAGGCTATGGGTTTTTAACAAAGCTATTTATAACTCTTCTGCTCCAATTCCGTGGGAGGTTGGTGATATATTCAGCTGTTTCTTGAAACGGAATTGTAAGAGAGAAAATATTATACTTGCGACAGACTTCTTCCTCTATGTTCTGCACAGAATGATCAACAAGTCTACTTTTTACTTCACTGAGAAAGAGTCTAGTACTTCCAACATATTGAGAAAACCAGGCATATCTAAAACCCAGGGAAAATAATAGGTTTTTAACGTCTGTAGCCCTGTTGACCCTGCCCAGTTCACAGGAGCGATATAATTGCATGTATGTAACATTTCTTTGGATATCTGTCATTTTCTAAGTGTATTAGTCTGCACCAGAATTTAGTGACACAATGCATGTAATCAGAACATGAGTTGGTGCTTCCCACTTCTCTTAGAACTAAACATTTGGGTGTAGTTTTGCCGTGACCCAAAAAGTCTTTCCAGAACTTTACCTGAACATTATCAATCACTTCCCAATTTTTGGTACCCCAAATTTCAGAGCCATAAGCAGCATATTTTTTGCTGTTTCGAAATTTAATTCTTGATTAGAACCGAAAAGCCTTCTTGTTCGAGAAACAATCCGTTGCGAGCGCCGTAAGACGTCTACTAAAACAAACATTTTCTCTCCTCCATTTTTGTGTTTATTACTCTCTTGTAACACTTCTAATCTTCGACACTTATATGACCTTATTGTGTTGCATGTGCCGTAAAACTCTTACTTAAACAAAACACAAAATTTGGGACCGGAAAAATCTGTTTGTTATGTGCGTGCTAGATTGTGTAATATTGTCATTGTGACATGAGGAGTGACTCTAAGATGGGCTGACTTTTTGTTATCTTTGTGTTGAGGAAAAGGAAGAAATCTGCTCGGAGTGGACCCTAAGCTTTGGTCTACTTTTATAAAGCATCATGTAGTCAGGGCATAATAGTTGAAGTCAATATCGTATGGAATGTAATCGTCATCTAATTTTTTTAGCTAGATAGTTGGTGGGCACTCTTGCGTGGTTTGCTTCTTTCATGCACCTTCTTTCCTATATATTTTTATCACTCCTTTTTTTCTTTGCATGTTACTCTCTAGTAATCCGTCTAATCTTTGGCATTTGAGTTGCAAATGCCATATTAAACTCTTAGACAACAAAACTAAAAGAAAGCTGCCTGGTCTACTTAAAGTTAAAGCATGTAGTCAGAACAGGTTGGTGATAATTGCAGTTAATATCCTATGGAATGTAGTCTCATCTTCTCTTTTTTTTATGGGTGGTTGGCAGGTACTGGGTGCTCTGGTATGGTTATTATGTTATATTCCTATCAAGCGCCTATAATTTTTGTCTCTCCTTTTTTTCTTTGTATGTAGCCATATAGTAATACCTCTAATCTTTGGAATTTGTATGACGTCATTGAGTTGCAAGTACCGTAAAACTCTTCCCAAACAAAACTAAAAGAAAACTACCTGGATTGGAGCCTAGACTTTGGTCTACTTAAAATATAAAGCATGTGGTTAGAACAGGATGATGATACTTCCCATGAAATGTAATCTCATCTTCTCCCTCTAGGTGGGTGGTTGGTGGGCTCTCTGCTGTTGTTCTGCTCCCTTTTTTCCTACCAAACGCCTATCATATTTATCTTTCTTTTTTTTCTTTGCATGTTGCTCTCTTGTAATACCTCTAATCCTCAACACTTGTATGACCTTATTGAGTTGCAAGTGCCATAAAACTGAGAAAACAAAACAAAAAGAAAACTGCATAGAGTGGAGCCTAGACTTTGGTCTACTTAAAGTAAAGTTAAAGCATGTAGTCAGAACTGGTTGATGATAATTGTAGTCAATATCCAATGGAATGTAATCTCATCTCATCTACTTTTAGGGGAGTGGTTGGTAGGCGCTCTGGTGTGGTTTGCTCCTTCTTTCCTGTCAAACACCTTACACCTATTGTATTTATCTCTCCTTTTCTTCTTTGTATGTTACTCTCTAGTAATACCTGTAATCCTCATCACATATGACTTTAATAGTTACAAGTGCTATAAAACTTTTACAAAACAAAACTCTGCTGTTGATCTGCTCCTTCTTTTCTATCAAATACTTATCGTCCTTATCCCTCCCTTTTTGCATGTCACTTTCTTTAGTAACACTTCTAATACCCCCAGGGGCGGTGCCACTGACTGAAGTGTCATTAGACCAGTCCCAAAAGGGGGATATTAACATCTTCTTATGCACAGTAGAATAGTAAATGGGCTGATTCATCAATATCATGCTCATAACTGTGCCTGAACTGCAACAGAGAACTACTGCTTTTTCTTCCCTAATCCTTACTATCGTCATTTTTTCTCTACTTCTTTTGTCAAGATTTTTTAGTTCAATTTTCAATATTAGCCACATGTATTATGTATGAAAATAGAGGGGAAATAATTACCTGTCTCAACATGTTGCTAAAAATGAGCAATCTTCAGCCTGAGATTTCAGATTCGATTATTACAAAAGTAGGTGTGGTTTTGACGCAGGAAGTAGCAAGCTGTGAAACATGGTGGTGAAGAGGATAATGTAGTTGAAATATCTTTATGGGCTAAAATTTCCCCAGCAATTTCTTGTTTCTCAGTCTTTTTCTTTGTGGTGGGGATGGGGGGGTTTGTTTGAAGTGTTGTGACTGGATAATGGTACAACACTCCCCCCCCCCCCCCTGCAATTTTACGCACTTATTTTCTTGAAAGGGGAGGGGGGGGGGGGTGTATAAATCATGGTTGTTATGTTGTGCTTTGTTAAAATTTCCTGTACAGTTTGTCTGTTCACAAGTCAAAATTGATTGGAACGAGTTTATAAGGGATGTGATTTTTTTGGTTTTAATTTTTTTCTCCCTCATTATGTTCAGCATCTGTTTTCTGTAGCTTGCAAATGCAACTTCTTTAATTTTCAGTTATTTTCAGTTGCATGCCTGATTCTATGTTTTTTGCCTGTCTTCCTTTGTGTTGCATGATACATGTTGGTAAAATAAGTTTGAAAATGTTTTTATTGTTTAGGTGCTAGGTGGATAGTTTAAGTGGACCACTGATAGGTCCTACTTCTTTTCTTTCACTCGGTTGTTTCTGTGTATCTCTCTTACTTTTCCCCCATATTAAAGGACCATTATTATTGTGTCGATGTGCTTCTTTTTATTCAAACAAACGAACAAGGTAGGTCTGTATGGACATGCATATGCGGAAGAATTTGTTCCCCACTTTGTTTAGATATGATTTCCAAACTTGAGCATGCTGACTTTAAGGGTGTTTATTATTATGCTGTAGTTCTTAAAATAAACTCATTTATGCCTTCTTGTTTTGTCTCCCCACCCCCATTCAGAGTGATAGTGCCGTGGAAAGAGTTCAAAATCACGCTCCACGAGAGCCACCCCATCGGCTCCTCCCTGGAGGCTATGGCCCTCAAGTCCACCATAGACCTCACCTGTAACGATGTCATCTCTGTGTTCGAATTTGATGTGTTCTGCAGGTGAGACTCTCCGTTTTTATCTCCTCGCCCCCCGTGTTTCCCCCATTTCTTTCCCCCACATTAGTTTGTGGTTTGTCTTTTTCTTTTGAGACTCGGGGATGCTATTATTCTGGAGGGGGGGGTTTCTCCATTATTTTTACTGAAGGAAGGTCAGAAGTCTATTTCATTGTTTTCAGGGGAAAAAAAGGTTAAACCTCATATTAATTTTTTCTGGTTTATTAACTGTCTTTGTGGTGAGACTTGGGGATACCATTATTCCGTTTCTTAAAATTTTCCTCTTTATTTTTTATTGAAGGAATGTTAGAACAATTGTTATTCTCAGCATGTGGATGGTTAGAAGGCGCCATTGTAGGTCCTACTTCTTTACTTTCCCTCTATTGTTTCTGTCTGTCTGTCTGTCTCTCTTACTTTTTCACAGCTCTAAATGACCATTATTGTGTCGGTGCCTCTCTTTACTCAAACAAACAAACAAAATTCTCAGCATTTATTTTCTGTTTAATCTGATATTAGTTTGGTGTCTATTAACTGTCTTTGTGTTGGCAGTGGCAACGTCGTAAATTTTCTTCTAGTGTTTTTAGTGGTTGGTTGGCAGGTGCTCTGGTGTGGTTTGCTCCTTTTTTCCTATCAAACATCTATTGTTCTTATCTCTTCTCCTTTTTTCCTTCGTATATTACTCTTTTGTAATATAATCTTTATCATTCGTAAAGGTTTTTACAGCACTCACAACTGCATAAGGTCATATGAGCACCAAGGGGTGCGTGTCGACAGAGAAGTCCTTACAGGGAATCAGACTTACTCTGCTTAACTCTCTAGCTTCAAAGGCACAAGGTCTGCTTCGACTATCAAGGCACCTCGGAAATAACAGGTCACAACAGTGTGACAAACATACAAAAGAAGAAGAGGAAATGACAATAGTACGGATTAGGAAAGGAAAAGCAGCAGTTTTCTGTTGCAGATCAGGCATAGTTATGAGCGTGACATGATGAATCAGCCCATTTAAAATTCTACTGTGCTTGAACGAGAAATGTCCCCCCTTTGGGAATGGCCTAAAGACACTTCAGTCAGTGGCACTGCCGCGAGGGGTTAATATAGTCTGCAATATCTGACACTTATATGACCTATTTATGTTCCACTTAAAGATGAGATGGTAGATGATTTGGACTGGCATCTGTTTTGTGGTCGTTAAGTGCTTCTCCCATGGGTAAAAGTTTGCCAGCTGTGGCCGGAATTTCCGGCAAGAGAAAGCCAGCCGGCATCATGGTGCCGGCAGTCGGCGACGGTCGTCCTTGACCGGACTAGCGTCGATCTGGTGAAGCATTGGTTTCTTTTGTTTACCTACCAACTGTCTAAAAAAAAGTCTGACATGATATGGCGTGCTACACCGACAGTACGGGGGGGATTCGATTATCTTTTCAGGCAAAGCCCCTTGAGATGCTATCAGTTTGAAAGTTTTCAAGCAAAATGGTTCTGACCACCTTTTACCCATGGCTTCACCACAGCGTGCAGAAGAGTTCGATTCTTGTGTGGGGAGAAGTCTTATAGAGTATCTCATGCTTTCTGCTGGAATGTTGTACCCTTCTCTTAGCCCAGGTTGGCTAAAGCTGACCTGGTAAATGATTGTATCGATAGTGGGTGTAAAAACAGTTACATTTTTAAAACATTAAAAAAAAACCCAGTTCTTTATGTGCATGCATATTCATTTATTTAGCCTATATATTTTTACATTTATATTGCAGTAATTTCTAAGTCTTGTGGGAGTAATGCAGGTGGTCTTGTTTGGTTTGCTCCTTCATCCTATCAAACATCTGTCTTCCTTATCTCTCCCTCTCTTTTTTTGTGTTTGTTACTCTCTTATAACTCCTCTAGTCTTCGGCACTTTTACGCCCTAATTGTGTTGCAAGTGCCGTAAAATGCTTACTAAGAACTGAACTATAATAATAAAACTAGACGTCTTTTTTGATGTATACTTCATTTCGGTCTCACCCCACTAATTTCTTTGTTGTCTTCAATGTCGGTGCCCTGTCTACAGGCTCTTCCAACCATGGACCAATCTTTTACGCAACTGGAACGTGCTGGCGGTGACTCACCCTGGCTACGCGGCCTTTTTGACTTACGACGAGGTCAAGGCCAGGCTCCAGAAGTACATCAACAAGCCGGGCAGGTGAGGGAGTTCAGGGAAGGGAAGTTTTTAACCCCCCCCCCCTCCCCCCCCCCCCCCCAGAAATCATGAGTGGGTGGTTGAAGGGCGCCACTGGTAGATCCTGCTTCTTTATTTTGGTTCTCTTGTTTCTGTCTGTCTGTCTTACATTTTCCCAGCATTGAATGACCATTGTTGTGTCGATATGCTTCTCTTTACTAAGACAAATAAACAAAACAAGAATTTGCGGGATGTTTGTTCACTAACTATAATTAAAATTGACCAATGGGTTCAAGACGCTTTTACACACAAAATTGTAAAATGTTGTCTGTCATTTTCTTGCATCAAGCCATTAAAATGAAATGCTGACGTTGGTTTGAAAAGAATAAATTTAAATTAAAGTTCAGGGTATTCTGTTTTTATTATACTGAAGCTCAGGGTTCTTGTTGAAAGGCGATATACGCCCCCACCCCACTTTAGAATGTTGCACTGTATTTTCACTAGACTAGGAACACAATAGAAAGTAATACACACTCACACACACACACACACACACACACACACACACACACACACACACACACACACACACGCACTGTCTCTCTGTCTCTGTCTCTGTCTCTCTGTCTCTCTTTCTCTCTCTCTCTCTCTCTCTCTCTCTCTCTCTCTCTCTCTTTCCCTCCCTCCCTTTTCTATCTTCTATATCTCTCCTTCCTCTCCCTTTTCTTCCCCCCCCCCCCACCACACACACATATACACACACACACGCATACACACACACACACACACACACACTTTTACTTCTTTCTCCCCTCTCGAATCGCGTTTCTGGTAACATTTTTTTTGCTCTCGTCACCACAGCTACGTATTCCGGCTGAGCTGCACCCGGCTGGGCCAGTGGGCCATCGGATACGTCACCACCGATTTCCAGATTCTGCAGACGATCCCGCAGAACAAGTCGTTGTGCCAGGCACTGCTGGATGGCCAGCGTGAAGGATTGTGAGTGGGCACATCTTTTACACAGGGGGGGGGGGGGGGGGGGGGACACGGCCTGCTCAAAGGATTGTGAGTGGCCACATCTTAGAATCTTAAAATTGTCGCTGTCTCTCTCTCCCTTTCTCTCTCTGTGTCTCTCTCTCTCTCTCTCTCTCTCTCTCTCTCTCTCTCTCTCTCTCTCTCTCTCTCTCTCTCTCTCACTCTCTCTCTCTCTCTCTCTCTCTCTCTCTCTCTCTCTCTCTCTCTCTCTCTCTCTCTCTCTCTCTCTCTCTCTATCTCTCTCTCTGGCATGTAAGTCAACATGATTTATTGTATTGTCCCATCGACAATTCCACTAGCTTTGTGTTTTGCAGAAATTCATGTTTTCCCGTTTTTTATTTTATCGAGTTTTTACTGAACAGAAATGCGTTTTATCTCTTCTCTTCTCTTCTACAGCTTTCTCTATCCGGATGGTCGGAGCATCAATCCAGACTTAAGCTTCCTGGTGGCAGACAGCGAAGAGGACCACATCCGGGTGACTCAGGTGGGTGCTGCTTGGACGTCCTAGTGTCCTAGCTGTTTTAACTGTGTGGGAAACTCAAAATTGAGAGAGAGAGAGAGAGAGAGAGAGAGAGAGAAGAATGCTTCTTCTGTGTTAACACATTTATCTATCTAATAATAATATGTGAAATTTATATAGCACTCCACCCCAATTAATTAAAGAAGAAAAATACACACGTACATACATGCTGGTGTGAGCTGTGGTGTATGATTGGGTCGGTTGCATATTTACGTGTATTTGTCAGCTTGTCACTTTATGTCTTTTGAATCGTCACAAATAAACAAACACACACACCTGCTGGCGTGAGCTGTCATGTATGATTGGGTCAGTTGCATATTTATGTATCTTAGCCAGTTTATCATTTCTCGTCTTTGGAATCATTGTGATTAGTGTTATTTTGGTCAGCTGTTCAGATACACTTAGACCAAAATTTAAAAAGCCCACAAAAACCAAGTTTTATTTTACTTTCTTAATCTTTTGTATTGGTTTCATGTGCTCAAGAAATATTTTGATAAAATTTTAATTCTAAATGTTGAAGAAAAAAGACATTTCAATATACTCATATAACATTTTTAAAAACATTTTGTTGTGGGTGGTTGGTGGATGCTGTAGTATGGTTTGGTCCTTCTTTTCTATCAAACATCTGCGGTCCTCATTTCTCCTATATCTTTTCTTTGTATGTTATTCGCATGTGGTCTTTCTTTCCTATCAAACATATGTCGTCGTCATCTCTCCTCTGTCTTTTCTATGTATTTTACTTTCCTGTAATACCTCTAATCTTTTGAGCTATTTGTGTGTGCAAGTGTCATAAAACTCTTGTCAGTCGAAGCAGACTTTGTGCTGTTGAGGCTAGAGAGGTGAGCAGAGTGAGCCTGATTCCCCGTGTGGATATCTCTGTTGACATCCACCCCTTGGTGCTCATTTGACCTCATCGAGTTGCGAGCGCCATAAAACCTTACTCAAACGAACTGTTGCTGAAACAAACAAAAAAACCAACTCCTCAATACTGGTATCTGTGTTTCAGGAACAATACGAGCTGTACTGCGAGATGGGCTCCACCTTCCAGCAGTGCAAGATCTGCGCGGAGAACGACAAAGACATTAGGCTGGAGCCCTGCGGTCACCTGCTCTGCACTCCGTGTCTGACCCAGTGGCAGGTCAGCGAACGGTTGACTGGACGCCAGTCTTTCTGTATTGTTTTTGTGAATTCAGAAATTTTTGCACACACGCACACACACACTCTGTCTCTCTCCCCTCTCTTCCCCCCCCCCCCCCCCCCCCCCCCCCCCCCCCCAACCTCACGACAAAGACATCAGGCTGGAGTCCTGCGGTCACCTGTTCTGTACGTCATGTCTAACCCAGTGGCAGATCAGTTGACAGCTGACTGGACGCCAGTCCTGCTGTAGTGTCTTTGTGATTTAAGAAATTTTGCCAGGTGAATTTTTTTTGAAGCCTGCAAGCAGTGGACAAGGAAATACACATTTAAGTGCTAGGTTATCTGTCTTTGGTTGTGTCAGGACAAAAAGAAAAGAGTTTCCAGGCATGGATTTTATTGTAAGTTTGTAGATGTCCTCCCACGACTGTCTAGACATGTGAGGCTCGAGAAGAACTCACCACGTCTCTTGCATTGTGTTTCTTTGGCATACCTTTAAGGGTGGTGTTGAGGAAAGTATGGTAACTTTTTTATATTTTAGATGTATGCCGAAAATCTCCTGTTATATTTTTGACCCGCTTTAGCCTAATATCTAAGAAAGCCTGTCGGAACCTTAGTTTGAAGTGACCTTTTTGAATAGGCTTTTAGATTATGTTGGTCATCTGACTTTTAGACCTTTAGGTCTAATAAGATTAAATAGAGCAATTTCATTTTTACCTAGTTTTAACCACTGTCAAACAAAAGGGAACAAGCTATAGTGTGTAATAAGTGGGTGCTCTGGTTTGGTTTGCTCCTTCTTTCCTATCGAACGTTTATCAACCTTATCTTTCCTTCATCTTTTTTTTAGTTTGTTACTCTCTTGTAACACCTCTGATTTTTGGCACTTATATGACCTAATTGTGTTCGAAGTGCCGTAAAACTCTTACTAAAACTAAATTAAAACTTCAACATTTATATGACCTAATTATGTTGCAAGTACCATAAAACTTACTAAACAGAAATGCCTCTAATGTTTGGCACTTCTATGATTTTATTTGCATTGCAAGTGCGGTAACAACTAAGCAAAATTAAAAAGAACAAAACAAAAACAACTAACCTTTTAAATCAAACTGTACAGGACTCGGATGGCCAGGGGTGCCCGTGGTGTAGGTGTGAGATCAAAGGCACGGAGCAGGTGATAGTGGACCCATTTGACGAGCGACTGACCACCGCCAAGGCTGCGTCTGGTTCCAAAACGCCGACGCAAGAGGTGGAGGAAGAAGAGGTGAGTTCAGTTAGTTCTAGGTCTTGGGGGGGGGGGGGGGGGGGGGTTGTTTTTGTTGTTGTTCTGTTGCGGTGGTCTCTTTAATGATAGTGGTGGGAGTGTAGAGAGACAGAGCCCGTCTACCCCACCCGTGAATGTCTGATGCTTTTCCTGCCTACCTGTGGGATATCTGATATCTGATCAGGTGGTTGCGGGGTGGGGTGGAGAGGGGGTGTGCACCTGTAGGTATTTTGGATTTTGGCAGGACCCATGTCTGTCTAATTGTGTTGGGGTTGGTTTGTTAGTCTTATAGTTTTGTTTGGTTTTTTTCCCCTCGTTTTCTCTTATGATACAATGCGTTTTGCGATTCCCAGGTACAGGGATGCCAACCAGTACGATTTTACGTATTTTAGTACGATTTTTTTCCGAAAATACACGAATACGACTTTTCATGAAAAAATATGCATCATGGAATGCGAAAAATACAAGATTCAGCTTGGGCGAGTAAACCTAATTATCTCGAGTCCCATCTTTTGTCAAAATAGTATCAGTATCGCAGAACTGGAATTTGAAAACCAAGTCTGATAAGGTCAGTAAGTTCATGTTTGCCGGTCGCAATCGTGATATTATATTCGTTCAGCTTTTCCTCGTCCGGATACTTTTCACTTTCACGCGAATGGGCAGCTATGGCGGCAGGATGAAGCGTATGTGACACCGAGGCTCGATCGGGAAAATTAATATCTTCTTTCGATTTCGTTACCACCGAGAAGTTTGCCAGCAGTTGTCTGATAAAACGCAACATTTGTGACATGCAGGTTGTGCAGTATAAACGCAATGTCGCCGTGCAAATAAAATTTATTCAATGCTCGGGACTCGGCTCTGTGCTGTCACTTGTGAAAAAAAAGCTCGCCATCGTGACCGGTCACTGAACCTGCACGCATTCGCGTCATAAATAAATGCGGCATCGTAGTGAGTAAACACCGTCTTTGGTGGGAGTAACGCTGTGCGTTGTGAAGTATAGGACTACGAAATAGGGGAGGAGATTATTGATTTTTTGGGGGGTGGTTTAATGCAACACCAGAGGACAAAAACTTGGAAACACATTTCAGAATTTTGATTAGAGCTTTCTGCAAAGCGCGCGTTGGTGCAGACCGTGTGTGGAGTCGGGACCCTTCATACTTTGCAAGTCTGTGTTATTGAAATAAAGTGTTCGCGTTTCATTGGATGGGTAATACGCGTAGTAAATTATACCTACAGGGATGAAATTGTAGCTTTCTGTTCAAGACTGGGGAATTTTCAGTGTCACTGCATCTTGCCCGCTCACAGTTGTTACAACTCTCACAGTGCGTGGGTCTATTTAATTGAGCCATTCAAGTTATTGCTTTTCTCTGAGTTTGAGCAATAATTTGAGTCTGTCACTTCATATTATGAATCATGACACCCAGACTGGTTCTTGATAGTCGAAATTCTTGTTCAAGACCCTTCCGAACTCTCAAAGCAGGATTTATTTTTTATATAATAATGAGAGGAAAATGTTACCGGTATATATTAGACTGAAATACTGAAGTCAAACCAGACCACAGTACGACATTTAACACTGACGTGTTGTTGACTGGATACGTGTATATTGTACGCGTGTGTGCTCCCTTTTTCGAGCTGGTGAGCTAGTATTTTTTTTTCAGGAAATATTGCTGGACACCCTGAACATTTTACTATTACTAGTTGGTCGGTCATGGGGAATACACATTTTCCCCTGAAAACACACATTTTCATATTTCCCAATACTCATTTCGGTTTTCTGTGGTTCGCATCTCTGCTGGTACGTCAAAATGTGGAGAATTTTGCGATCCCATAAAGTACCAGGGATGTGATGGGAGTAAACAAATTTATGGGCGGTTGGCGGATGCTCTGGCGTGGTTTGCTATCTCATTCATATCAAACATCATCCTTACTTTCTTTGTATTTTACTCTGTAGTAACACTTAATCTTCGGTACTTATAAGACCTAATTGTGCCGCAAGTGCCTTAAAACTTTAACCAAAGTTACAACTAATCGAAGGGAATGAGAAGAGAACAAGGTAAAGTTTGAAAGGGGTTTAGCTTTGGATGGTCGCGGAGTTCATGTTGACCGTAATTGTATGGTGAAAAGAAACCTGGTATGGAATTTGATTATTAGAAAGTTTGATTAACTTTCAAGTCCTAAGCCTATTTTTTGTTATCATTCCCAGCACTTATTTTAAACTACAAGCATGCACTACCCACCAAAATGTTGCCGAAAAAATAAATGGAGATTGATATATGAAGATACAGGTGCTTTAAAGGCAAGCAGGTATTTATGATGAATGAGCAAAATAAGAATAATGATGCAGCATCTAATCAGTAGATGTGCTCACTTCTAAGAGTTAAAAAGAATCACATGGATATTGAAGTGTTCTTGCAGATGGGCTTTATACGATTTATCTGTGTTGCAAGTGCTGTAAAACTCTGTCTAGGAAATAAAACAGGATGACTCAACTCGATGTGGAACCGAATTCACTGTTGCGGCAACTGTAAGTTCACGTGTTTGAATCTCTTAAGGGGCCTGATTTTGTGCCCTTGGGAAAGGCACTTTGCTCGAATTTTCCTCATTTCACCGAGATGGGATTAGGTACAGATGTAAAGACAGCAAAATTTGTCAATTTGTTAGTGTTTGAGTACGTGCAATCCACAACTTGCACTGTGTACGTCCCGGGAAACTGAGAAAGCCCCTGAGAGCTCTTGGGTCTGCTTGGGTAATAATAGTTGGAAAGCGCATAGAGCATACTGTAGAGCGTGGATATGCGCGATATGAATTCAGTTATTCTTATAAACAGATGTTTCTGTTGTGTATTTTGCAGGAAGGAGGGGGCATGGCCAGTCTACATGCGCTTGCTGTAGGAGCTAGAGTAAGTAGGCTCGTGTGGGGGTGGCTGTGGTGGTGGTGGCGGCAGCAGTTGGTGTTTTTGTTTGTTTTTTCTTTTGTTATTGGTTTGTTTTTTGTTGGTTGATTTTGTGGTTTATGGGGGCGGCTTTGGTCTTGGTGGCAACTTGGGGTTGGGTTTTTTTTTTCACCTTTTTTTGTTGTTGTTGGTTGGTTTTACAAACCTGCCAAGTGCTCCGATAATATGGAACCCCTCAATTTAAAAAATTTGTTTTGCTCGTTGCGTCTACATGTCCTTTAGTGAGAACAAGACAGGTATATTTGGAGATTTTAGTCAGTGTTCGTGTGGACTCCTGCTGTTCTCTCTATTTATAATTTTTTTAAATATGTGGCTTGTAATGTGACGATAGTTGTTTAAAAAAAATAAAATTAGTATTATCAAAATGGAACAAGATACAGTCGAACCTGCCCTGACGGCCACCTCTATAAGACGGCCACCTGTACAAACGGCCACTTTCCATTTCCCCCCTTGCGTTTTTTCTATATAATTTAACTGTGTAAAACGGGCACCTGTCCAACGCGGCCGCGGCCACCATATTTTAACACACAACACATATCACACTAAGCAAAAACACCTGTCTTAGACGGCCACCTTAGTGACTCCATTACGTTTTGTCATAAATTGTGCATTGGCCCCTGGCGTTGTGGGCGAGCCGTCATAATTCAATCACCTGTCGTTGTAGTTAGGTAGTCCCTCCAACCGATCATGTTGCGTAGGCCCCTCCCACTGTTGACCAATAGGTAGGCTACCAATTTTCAGCTGCTGGTGAGGTAAGCGTGTGATCCCTCATAACCCATAAACGATGCCCAGAACTCATACACAAATCGTAAGTGAGATGAGTGGTCACTGTTTACCCAGTCTGTAACAAAGTAACAGTGGACGTCAACATGAACTTGTGACAGAAGCGTCTATCGTTCTCCGAGTGGTGGCGACCCATGTGTTTGTTTTAACATGGCACTCGATTCTTCCTTATCTGATACATTTCGTTTTATTGTCCCCCTTGTGCAAAATCAGCAACAAAATAAAAATTACAAACAAAATACAAACTAACAACAAAAACAACAACAATGCGGCTATTTTCGATTGGGACCTCAGATGGAAATGGTTTTTCTTCTTTATCTTGATCAGCCCTGCCTAAGACGGCCACCTGTCTTATACGGCCACTTTTCTCCTTGACAATGGGTGGCCGTCTTACACAGGTTTGACTGTAAATAGATCAAAGCAGCAAAAGGCAAAAATAAAAAAATTGGTTGAAAGTGCTTTTAAAACTTCTTTGCAAGTAGTTGATGTGGTTTGCTCCTTCTTTCATGTTAGACATGTACCGGCCTTATCTGTCCTCCTTTCTTTGTATGTTACTCTTTAGTAACACCTCTAACTTTCGGTCCTCATATGACCTATTTGTGTTGCAAGCGCTTTTAAACACTTATAAAAACTAAAAAGCTACCCTGTTTCTGATAAAAATTATATTGGTTGATATGATAAATAGATGAAAATAAACAAAGGCAAAAATACAAGATTTGACTAATGTTTACTCTCCCCACCAACCCACTCCCTATTATTTGTTTCAGTCTCGTGATGGAAGCTCGCCTTTTGACTCGCCCGCACTGTCCAAAAGGCCTGGTCAACCCAACCCAGATATACCACCGCCGGTGCCCCCTCGCACAGTCTCCCCCTTCCCTTCTCCATGCACCTCGCCAAAGCCTCCCAGGTAAAAAGACCAGTGGGCTGCTTATTTGTTTGTTTGTTTGTTTTATAAGTAAGACGGACAGACACAAGCAACAGAGGGAAAGTAAAGAAGTAGGACCCACCACTGGCACCCTCGATAAAGAGAAGCATCATCATCATCATCATTGCCTTTCTCACCCTGCACCAGGGTATAGGCCACGGACAAACACTTTCCACCTTTCTCTGTCCTGGGCTAGCCTCTTGATGTTATTCCATGTCTTTCCACTTTTCTGTACATCGATTTCTGTGATTCTTCTCCAGGTTCCACGCGGTCTTCCCCTTGATCTCTTACCCTGTGACTTCCTGAGAGTATGTCCAATTCATCGCCACCACTTTCTTCCTTCCTCATCTCTGACTGGGATCTGTCTTGTTTTCATTAACACTTCCACATTGGTGACCCTCTCTGTCCATCTGATCCTCAGTAACTTTCTTAGACACCTGTTCTAGAAAAGCTGGATCCTCTTTATGCAAGTCTGTGATGTGTTCCATATCTCACATCCATACAACAGGACCGACTTCACATTTGAATTGAAAATCCTCAGCTTTGTTCGAAGTGAGATATTTCTGGTCTTCCAAATCCTATCCCAAGGTATGTAAGCAGCCTGGGCTTTTCCAATGCGAGACTTTATTTCAGCACCTGTTTCTCCCTTTCTGTCAATTATACTCGTAAGATAGTAGAAGGATTCAACGTCTTCTTGTGCATTTACTTCTTTTGTGACCTGCTCCTTTCATTATGCATCTGTCCATAGGACCTTTGACTTTCCGGGGTGGATCCTCAATCCAACAGACTCCGAAAAGAGAAGCATATGAACATAAAAATGGTTTAGTGCTGGGACAAAGTAAGACAGAAAGACTGACAGAAACAACAGAGGGAAAGTAAAGAAGTAGGACATACTAGAAGTGCCCTCCGACCACCAGCTCGACTGCTGCTGGCCACAGTTCTTGTTAGCACGCACAGGGCATACTGTTTGAAATATGGTTTTGAGAATGCCCAGAAACGTGATTGCCTTATCTAGCAATGCCAATCGGGCTTCCGCGTGCTGCGAAATTTTGGTCCCCGTTCGGGGGTGAATTTTTGGACCGGGTCGGAACGTAAGTGACTAACTTTCTCAACCTCGTTCTGCGCTATTTCTAGATCAATGTGAGTGAAACTTGGCAACCAATCAGAAAATGGGACAAACTAATGATTTGTGGACGTCGAAGTTTGTACCCATAAATTAACCTATACTTTAGGTGTCGGAAACACTTTCGTATCGGGTACACTGCAAACTATAAGAAGCTTGATATTCGACGTTGAGAAGGTAAGAGATCTATCTTCCTCTATAGTGAGCTCAAATTTGAACATTCTGTGTCAAGTATTTGTTTAAAATTGATCATAAATGTACCACTACCCCCCTGCCCTAAGCGGCTTCGCACGGAGACCGGCCATTTTCCCCTCACTCCTTCGGCAAATGTATGTGACCCACAAATCCCTGCATGACTATTCCAAGCCCGTTTATTGGTCACTTGAAATAGGGCAGTGGCAGGCGCGCGCATCCGGTTGTTTTTCTCTCTGTTCCCCTGTAACACCGTAATGGGGGTATTCCGAGGCGAGCTTATTTTGCCTCGCGGTTTTCGCATCTCAGTGGTAAAAAAGGGGTTTTTATTGAACGACATTTTAGATTGAATTAAATTATATTTTATAGTTGGCATGGTCTTCAAAGAAAGCTTTGCCATTATTTAGTCACGCTGCCAACATTATATTCTTAAAGATCCCATGTTGTGATACGATGCTGTAAATAAAATGCTCTCTTCCCGACACCCCTTTTTCGCAAAATCAAAATATGTAAACCAAAATTTTAATTATAGCTGAATAACTACGAAATGGTTAGTAATTCTGACTGCAGAAATGATTTTTCCAGCCAAAAACACATTGGGTAGCGAAGTTTCTTTCTAACACTCAAATTAGTTACTGAGATATAATCGGTTTTCTGACAGAATCTACTACACCGTGGTCCACTTTTAGAAGTATTTTCCTATATATGGGTCATCCATATTTTGCCGAATTTTATTACCCCATAACTTTTTTATTTATGAACCGATTCTTAAAATTCAAAAGGCATAATTCTTAGAATTGAAAACTCTTTCATCCAGACCGAAGGGCTAGAACCCAAATGGCCGCTGGATCGGAAAAGTAAAGTAAAGTAAAACTCTTTCTTAAATGCCAAATAAAAAAAGGGCTAAAGTGAAAAATTAAATTTTCATTGACATTGCTACCTTATCTGAAATAGTACTGGAAACCAAATCGAAAAGAAGAAAGAAGAGGTAGACCAACTGGCAGTTGTGGGAGTACAGTCAGGGACGAGACAATCACTCAAAGCCTGGATGTGTCAAAGCTAGGGGAAGTGGCCTGGGCCAGACAAGCGTGGCGTCGTCTGTTTTTTTGTGCTGTGTACCTGACAGTAAGGGAGAATGTCAACGCACAGGTGCGCCGCAGGGTACATACATATGTATGCCCTCACATGTTTGCACATACAAACATACACCCATGTACGTACGTGCATTCATGCTCGTACATGGATGGCTGTGTGCTGCTCTGGTGTGGTTTGCTCCTTTCCTATCAAACATCTATTTTCCTTTTCTCTTCTCCCTCCTATCTTTGTATGTTACGTTTTAGTAACACCTCTAATCCTCGGCAATAATATATGACCTATGTGTGCTGCGAGGCTTACTGATACTACAACATTGAATTTATATTTTATTTATTTTTCTCTCGTCCTTTGTTTTCTACTTTTATCTAATTTCGTTCTGTTGTCTTTTGTCCTTTGTTTTCTACATATATCTATCTAATTTCATTCTTTTGTCCTTTGTTTTCTACATATATCTATCTAATTTCATTCTTTTGTCCTTTGTTTTCTACATATATCTGTCTAATTTCATTCTTTTGTCCTTTGTTTTCTACATATATCTGTCTAATTTCATTCTTTTGTCCTTTGTTTTCTACTTTTATCTAATTTCGTTCTGTTGTCTTTTGTCCTTTGTTTTCTACATATATCTATCTAATTTCATTCTTTTGTCCTTTGTTTTCTACTTATATGTAATTTCGTTCTGTTGTCTTTTGTCCTTTGTTTTCTACATATATCTATCTAATTTCATTCTTTTGTCCTTTGTTTTCTACATATATCTATCTAATTTCATTCTTTTGTCCTTTGTTTTCTACATATATCTATCTAATTTCATTCTTTTGTCCTTTGTTTTCTACATATATCTATCTAATTTCATTCTTTTGTCCTTTGTTTTCTACATATATCTATCTAATTTCATTCTTTTGTCCTTTGTTTGCTACATATATCTATCTAATTTCATTCTTTTGTCCTTTGTTTGCTACATATATCTATCTAATTTCATTCTTTTGTCCTTTGTTTTCTACTTATATGTAATTTCATTTTGTTGTCTTTTTTCCTTTGTTTTTTACTTCTGTCTTATTTCAACTTGTCGTCTCTTGTCGTCCTTTGTTTCCATTAGGAGGCAACTCCCTCTGACCCCACCGAGTGACTCGCTGCGGAGTCCCGAGACGACGGCCTCACACCCTGGGGTGCGGCCAAACTTCCCCACAAACGCTGCTAGTTCTGGTTAGTTTGTAGTCTGTAGTCGGAATGATATTTTGGTTATACGAGTTTGGCCTACAGAATGGGGGGGGGGGTGTATTATTTTCTACGGGGTCAAAGAATAACATCTGCAGGGATACTGTGTGTTGAAAGATTCCACTAAACCGTATGTAGGTCTGGTCTCCTGTAAAGAGTCAGCAGTGGGTGGTTGGCGGGTGCTCTGGTGTGGTTAGCTCCTTCTTTCCTATCAAACATCTATCGTCCTTATCTCCGCCTTCTTCTTTTTTATATTTGTTACTCTCTTGTAACGCCTCTAAACTTCTGGCGCTCATATGACCTTATGCAGTTGCGAGCGCCGTAAAGCCTCTACTAAGACAAAGAGTCAGTTGGTTGAGGACTAACTAGCCAACCCTGTAAAAACTGAAAGAAGCTACCAGCAACACAAGCAAATACATCAAATATTTTGTTTTCCTTTCCCAGTCCTATCAAAATGACACTGTTTGATAAGTGTACAATTATGCACCTGATGTCTTAGAAAGCTATGTTCAATTTTCTCCCTCTATTTTGGGAGTACGAACCATTTTTTCAAGACTTATCCCTGTCCCTTTGTAGACATAAGAAATTGTGGGTGGTTGGGGGGTGTGGTTTGCTCCTTCTTTCCTATCAAACCTGTATCGTCCTTATCTCTCCTCCCTTCTTTTTTATGTTTGTTACTCTCTCGTAACACCTCTAATCTTCGGCACCCATATGACCTTATTAAGTGCCATACGATAAAACTCTTACTGAAACCAAAAAAACCCACAAAAAAAGACTTAGGCCTGTCCGTTTGTAGACTAGATAACATCATGTACCTTGTTTCTCGACAGGGATTTCATACGCGGAGCTACGCTATGACGTCCCTGCACCAGACTACGAAGGTGCCAACTCGCCCACTGTGCCAGCTCCTTCAGGGGAGGGTCACTACGACCGACCGCTGCCGGGGATTCATCCCGCAGGTGAGTGCTCTCTCCTCAACCAGGCTCATGGGTTTAGATTGGGCCCATGAGTCGAAATGTAAAGCACTGGTGATAGGGGCTTGTGAGTGGAGATCTAAAGTACTGGCGGTAGGGGTTTAGTCGTAGATATATAAAGCACTGGTGATTGGGGTTTAGTAGAGGATATGTAATGAAAGTTCTGAAATGCTATGTATGGTCAACCCTACTATATGGCTGAGAATGCTGGACAATTACTTTGGACAGGGAAAATAAAATAAAAGCAACAGAAATATGGTTTATTAGTAGACTGCTGAGAATACCGTGGAAGGAAAAGAAATCAAATGAGTTAGTGCTTGATGAAGCCCATGTGAGACGCTCACTGTTAAAAACAATCAGGAAACGACAAATGCAGTTTTTGGGACAGCTGAATCGACAAAGGTCTTGTACATCTAGCTCTCACTGGCAAAATTGAAGGCAAAAGAGGCAGGGGTAGGCCAAGAGCAATCTACTTAGGGAACCTAACAAATGGGTAACATGGAAAGTTCAGGGTAGCGTAGCTTTTCTAAGAGCATCTGAACAAAGGAATGAATGGAGAACCATGATCGCCAGAGTCTGTCGCAGATCTGGCTCTGGATGATGATGTAAAGCACTGGCGTTGGGGGCTCAGGAGTGGATATGTTAAGCACTGCTGCCGTAAGCGGACAAAACATCTTTTTTTTTCATTTTGGGGCCAAAAATTTATATTTGCCAAATCGAAAGCCTCATCAGTTTCCTTACTTGTGTGAAAGAAAGGTGAAACTGACTAGTTTTTTAATAAATGAGAATTCAAATTTCGAAACCACTCTTATTTTTCAATGGTTGCGCTGACAAAAAAAACTATGAATAAAAAAAGGCGTTTTGTCAGCTTACCTCAGACTTTGCGATTGGGGCTCAGGAGTTGATATGTAAAGTACTGGCGAGTGGGGTTTGCTTTTTCCTTTCTATAAAAAATCTACCATCCTTATATCTCCTCCTTTCTCTCTTTTTATGTTACTGTTGTAAAGCACCTCTATTCTTCTGTGTTTATGTGACCTATTTATGTGGCAAGTGTGGTAAAGCCTCTTACTAAAACTGAAGCTCCCCACACGCACACGCTTTTTTGCTTGTGTGGATTGCTCGCCATGTCGTATGCCTTTGTGTTAAACAATAATATAACATTCCTGTAGAAAAATCTGTAAAATTGTTGGTTTTGAAAAAAGGTGGGTTTTTTTTAATTGCCTAGGTGTATCATCAGTAGCAGCGCAAGAGGAGAAACCCCAGCTGCACAGGCTCAACAGCGACTACGCTACCCCTCCACCACGCTCAAAACACCACAGAGAGGAGACTTCTGCATGTCCTCTGTAAGTGTTGGCTCAGTCATTGCCTGCCCCAAATAATGTTGAATAATATGGTGGTGATATTCTAGTGGTTAAGGCTGCCCAGCTCATAACCTAAAGGCCTTTAGTTTAAACCTTGTCAGGAGACCTGATTTTGTGTCCTTGGAAAGGCTCTATACACAGGGTCCCCACAGGGTCAGGAAATCGGGAAAAAGTCGGGAATTTTGAGATGGGTCGGTAAGTCGGGAAAGTATAGGGCCTGTGTAATGTGCAGCTATCTAGACTGTATGGTTGATGAATCCTAAAGAAGAAATGTAATTGAACCGCTGTGACGGAAGTGTATGTGTGACACCGAGGCTCGATCGGGAATAATCAAGATCTGCTTTCGTTACCGCCCAGAAATTTTTCGATAATAGTCTGACAGATAACGCAACATTTGTAATATGCAGGTTGTGCATTATGAACGGTGTGTCGCCTTGAAAATAAATCAATATTAAAAATTGCCCTCTGCTGTTGCTTGTGGATAAAAAGAAAAAGAAGTTATACAAGCGTCTTGACAGGTTCGCCCTCGTGACCGGTCAATGAACCTGTGAGTACCGGCGGTCTGAGCGCTGTGAAGTATAGGACTCCTTTATAAGATTAAGATACACTCGTGGAAGGGGATTGG